TTTGGAGCGGTAACAGGTGGTTTTTGGATTTGTACTCACTTCCAACTTGACTTATTTATTGTAAAAAAAAAAAGAAAAAAGACAAAATAATTACAAAAATATCAATTTCAAATTAGTTCAAACAATAAATAATAATTTAATGTTTTAATCTATAAAAAACCTGCCGTCCACAGCAGACATTCACCAACCAATCCACCTCCACCCGCTGTGGTCACCATTACTCCCATTAATGGGAGGGTCTAACCATTAACAAAACCATCTAAACAACAAATATTAACAAACTAAATAACACATTTTGGGTCTAAACTAACTTCAATATATTCTACCTAACAAAATACGAAAGCTTAATTGGTAGAAATTGAAAACATTTAGCAGAAATGAATCCAGAAACGGTTTTATTTAGATTTATAAATTATATAACATCATTTCATCTTCAGGTTTAATACGTTTCTTCATTACAAGCAGCGTTGGTTGCTGAATAAAAATCACTAGAGGGACCAAAGAACAAAACCCAAAGAAAAGAAGGAATATTTAGTTTAGTGAGCCACAAACTGGGGTTTATTTTGGTTAAATAATAAATTGGTGAAAGAGACCAGAGATGGAAACTCAGCATCGCACTGAAAACACTGATCTATAAAATGTGAAGTTCTTATAAATCAGTTTGAGCCGATAAAAGTTGATCTGTTAAAGAAACAAAATAATTAGAGATTACGGCCCTGAAATAAGAGAATATTTTCTCTTTTTAAACATTTTATTTCACCTGTAAACTCGCCTTCCTGCTTCAATCAGGTCATTTTCCCCTCTTTAAAAATAGAAAATAAATTCTCATTTTGCAGTTTAGGCTTTATTAAAAACCAGGAGCAGCTCTATCTACAGGGGCACTGGCCCCCGATGGCCCCCCGTCTAGAACCGCCTATGGAACCTACTGATAAATGACCTGATGTCCTCTTAGCGCCACCATTGGTGGAGATTATCTGGATCTGGGGATTTTTCCAATTAAATCATCAT